GAGTCTTCTCAGCTCCCCTCCCCCTTTCGTCTCTAGGTGAGACAGGAAAGCTAGAGGGTGCTAGAATCCACTATTTCCTTTCTCCAGGATTGGTTAGACCTGGGTAAAAACAGCTTTCCTTGCAGGCAGGAAATGCTCTGGGTGTATTTCAAAATGGTTGCCATTCTTGCTGCCAGAATAGACAAGGACTTTTTCCTCCGGTATTCACCCTGAGAACCTGGTGGCATTCCTAGGGTAAAACACAAAACTGTGGGCCCCTCTCCATCCTGGTAAGACTGGACCTGCAGGAGATTTTCTCTCTCTAGCTGGTCCACAGGTCAGTTTGCATCTTTAAGTGTTCCTACCAGGTGCTGGCGCAGTGGTGGCTTCGGTGCTGGTGAGCTGTGTTTCTCTGTATTGGCCTGTCTCTCCAGTTTGGGGGACATAACCTGTGTTACGACCTCATAACACATCCGACTTCTGTGACGGATCTAAGGAGCATGGGAGTGATGACTTCTGATCGTTTCACATGTCAGACCAGACCTCTTTCAGCTTTTTAGAATTTTGTTTTACATAATTTATTATGTGACTAAAGGAGGAGTAAAAGAACCCTTCTTCAGACATGATTAGTTCCGGTAGAGAACAAGAAGTTAGAGCAGCGGTTCTTAACCTGTGGGTCGCCACCCCTTTATAACAGTGAAAATACATCCTGCATATCAGATATTTACATTACGATTCATAACAGTTGCAAAACTACAGTTATGAAGTAGCCACGGAAATAACTTTATGGCTGGGGGTCACCACAACATAAGGAACGGTATTAGAGGATTGTGGCAGTAGGAGGCATTAGGAAGGTTGGGAGCCACTGTGTTAGAGTGAGTGCTGTTTAGATACTGAGTTATCTGAAGTTTTACTTACTGCAATTTAACTTCTGGATTCAGGTTTACTTTTTAATTCTGTTTCTCCATTGATGGTTGGATGCTGTAGTTACGATGAAGATGCATAAGAAACTTTAGAAACTTGTATCGTTGATATAAAGAGGAAAAATATAAAAACTGCCCGTTATTTTATTATCCAAAGCTAATCACTATTCATTAACATTTTGGTGTATCTTCTTCTAGACATCATATGGCTATTTTTTTTTTTTTTTATTTATTCCCTTACCCTTGGTGGAGTGTGTGGCATCATAGCTCACAGCAACCTCAAACTCCTGGGCTCAAGTGATCCTCTTGTCTCAGCCTCCTGAGTAGCAGGGACCATAGGCTCCTGCCACAATGCCGGAGTGGTTTTTCTATTTTCAGTAGAGATGGGGTCTCGCTTTACTCTGGCTGCTCTTGAACTCCTGAGCTCAGGTGATCTGCCCTCCTCGGCCTCCCAGAGTACTAGGATCACAGCTGTGAGCCCCCACACCCAGCCAGTTGATAGTTTTTTTTTAAAGAGAAAAGTTTTCTTACTTGTACCTCTACCTAAAATTTAGGAACTTAGTTAAAATTTGGATATTTTTGGAATATTCTAAGTTTTAATGATGATTTGAGATTATTGAGAATATCTTGAGATATTCTTCAAGAAAGAATGCTTGAAGATATAGAG